TTGAAGATGATACTAAAATCTCTCTAGCATGGATCATGAGATTTTTGTTTGGTTTGGAGCATTAAAGATATGGATTTAGGGATAAGAAACTTAGAAAAATAGAGACAAAAAATACAAGACAAAACTAGGATTTTCTTTGGGCAATTTTCTCCAATAATTTTAACTTAACATTACATATATTTTTTTTATATTTTTGAAGCAGGAAAGGAGACTAACAAAATGTTGCTGTATTTGAAAATTTTGGAGAAAATTTGAGTGTTGAATTAGGACAAGTTGCTAGACTAGTATAGGGTTTTTAGAGAAATATATAATTATAAATACTTAATTAAAATGACAAAACAAGGGATTAAACACAAAATTTTGGGGTTTTTTTTTTTTAAACATAAAAATAGGCAACACCATAACACAGGCAATATGAAATTTGCTTGAAAGAAGTGCAGTGAAGTTAAAATTCATACTCACCAAAGTAGGTTTCCAAGGAGATCACCAAATTCCCTGGGTGGTTAACCATCTCGCCTCAAAGAATAGGAGAATTTTTTATCCAAGTGTTTCACACAATCAACATTAATTCATTTAAGAGAAAAGAGTAGTTTAAATACACTCTCACCCTTTCATTACCAAGCAACTACTCAAAGAAGAGGTTGAAGGGGAGCGGTCAACCTTCTCATTTAACCACGCCGGCCTCAACTGATCTCTTAAACCGCGTTGAAATTTGTGATTTTTTTCTTGGGTATTGACATAGTGAGGTGCATATATGGACAGAGAACTAAATTCTTCCTCTTATTGCATAATTGATCTGGATCTCTGAGTCAGATTGAGGAATTTATTTTGTAGTTCTAATTTGGCTGAAGGTGGATAAACTAATTTTTTAAAACTTTTAACAAATTCATCCCACTAAATCCATGAAAGAAATGTTAGCTAAAATTTCTCTCTATGACACATCTGCAACCATCTCTCTGCCTCACCTTTGATAAAAGTCGCTAGCACACTCTTCTATTTTCTGTACAAGCCATGTCGTCAAGAATCATTACTATCTTTAATGACCAATCTTCAACAACTCTATGACTGCTAGCACCCTCGAATGCAGGTGTTTTGAATGTTTGTAAGATTACAAATGTTAATCAACTTCTATCTTGATTTCAGATATGAGCCCTCTACCATTACATGATCTTATTTGGAAAACTGCTTGCAATATTAAGGGTCTGTTTAGGGCAGCTGTAGATTATTGATAATCTGCTGATAAACACTTGATCCATATAAGCTGCTAATCAACAACTGATCCGGATAAGTTGGTTATTTGTTTGGTTTTTGCATTTGGAAAACAACTGATTTGCAGTTATTTCTGGATAAATGACCATTCTGTTCCTATGTAGTATTATTGTTTATGACAGAACTGTCAATTCTGCTCCTATGTAGTATTATTGTTTATGACAGAACTGTCATAACTATAAATTAAATACTTTAGAAACAAATAACCATTTCTTAACAGTAAAAAAAAAGATGTACACCTCACTTAAGAGAGTACGAGGTTTGCTAAAAGAAAAAGAAAAATAATTTAATTAATTCATTAGTCATAGATGTACACCTCACTTAAGAGAGTACGAGGTTTGCTAAAAAAAAAAAGAAAAATAATTTAATTAATTCATTAGTCATAAAATTACTCTCTTTGTATCTCATCTTCGTCACACCCAATTCCCCTTAAGTATTCATCACAACCTCTCCACAACATAATCAATAGATGTAAAACATCATAATCAACAAGTATTTCGCTACCAACCCACAATAAAACCTGAAAACTACCAGAAAACAACTCGAATAACACCGATTAGGGCAAAAGGCGCGAATAACATCGCGTAACTCACCAATAACACCAAAAACCTAGCTAATAACATCGCAATAACACCTAAATGCCACCACAAAGTAACTCGGATAGCATCTGCTCAGGCAAAAGGCACGAATAAAACCTTGTAACTTACCAATAACATCGCAATAACACCTGAATACCACCGCAAAGTAACTCGGATAGCATCTGCTCAGGAAAAAGGCACGAATAAAACCTTGTAACTTACCAATAACATAATAAAACCTAGTTGATAACACTACAATAACACCTAAATACTACCGCAAAATAACTCGATCACCGACTCTGGCAAAATGCGCGAATAACACCGCTGGATCCACTAATAACACCAAAATAACCTAACTAATAACACTGCCAATAACACCATCGGAGGACACGGGAGGGCAGAGCCGCAAAAAAAATTATCCGAATGTGGGAAGCGGGGTCGAACCTGCGGGCGAACCTGCGGTCGGCGTGTAATACAAAAGCAAAACCAGCTTTTTCTGCAACGCAACAAAGACAGAGAAAAAAACATCTGTGTCGGCATTTTGAAAACACCTCGCAGATGTAACATTGATCCAGACGGGCCCTAACTGAACAATGGTTTTTAGCTTAGCGACTCTAATTTTCAATTTTGCTTTATTTTGATTAGAATTTCTTTTTAATACATTTTTAGCTCCTTGCTCTGAAATTGGCCTAGGTGTAACACCCAAATTTCGAGAACTCAAGTAATTTCGACAAATTCTAAAAATACCTCAAATTTCGCACCCATTGTAATGTGCTCGAAATAATTTTATAAAATTCTTACGCTTGAAATCGAGTAATTCGATGTAAAACACGACATATAAATTCTGAATAGTTTGGGAAATATAAAAATTAGAAGTTATATGTTTTATTAACTTAATTAAATCTTAAATACATTAATTGAATCTTAATTGGGGCTATTCTCGCGAGAAGCAGCGCCCGAGTACTATAGCAAATTGCAGACAACAACCAAGCGACCACTTGGGTGCCGCAGCTTGCGATTTAGGGTTTCGAGGTGTCTTCTGTAAGCACGAATCTCTCTCTTATGTCATTTGTGACATTCATTATCATCGTCACCCTTCTGTTTTGGCTTCTGCCTCGTTTTTCATGCAAATATCATTTTCGATAGCCATTGAAAGCACCGATTGTGTGCCAGAAGCGTAAGAAGTTTTTTGTGAGCTTCTGTAAGGGTTCTAGCAAGAAATCAGCGTAGGGGAGGTGTGAATACATGTGATAGAAAGGAAATTATGCTGTTTCAGATAGAACAATTATGCCGATAAATCTATTTAAGGTATCTTATGAAAATTAATCCATGTTTTGGGTTAATGCATGTTATGCGCCAAATTTTATGAAATCTTATGTTGTCTATATGAGGCGGCAAGTTCGAGACGAGCATATGGGCACTCATCGTAGGGTTGTTCCATCAAGTTAGGTGAAAAAAAAAAACTCTTTTATAGGCTTTCATATGATTTCTATTTTAACACATTCATTTAGAACTTCTTGCATATTGTAAATGGACACCTGCAATTGAACTATTTACTTTTCGTATAATACATGTAATGTTATGATCAGACTATGCTACATATGACTATAATTATGATATTAATTTCTTGCAAGTATTCATTTGTTATGCTTCATGCCTATGTATATAATACATGTAATGTCTGATAAATATTTGATACAAGAGTGATGATTTAAATGCCACGAGTAGTGCTATGGGTAGATTATTATATGAGTGTTTGTAAGTAAACTATAGTGATGTAATATTTCCAACTCCTGATATTTATACGGTGGCGAAACTCTGGAAACTGTTGAGAATAGGCGGTGATAGAACATTAGGGCATCGTGGATATCAAGGGGGCTATTAATAACTATTATGTTGGGGAAAACCCAACATTTATTGATAGTTTATATCGTCTGAGGCAGAGTGACGACTAATGATGAAAATAAGATAATTATTCTTGACACAGGAATAAAAAAGAATAGTCAAATTTGCCATTACCTTTTTTTCTTGATCTATGAAAATAATAATAATCCCTCACCTAATTATCTCGTCTTACTTTACAAGTTAGTCTCCAAAAATATAAGCGAATTGTGCAAAAAGTGCATACTCCAATATGAAGTTCGGGGTAAAAATATGTAAATCAAGTGAACTTGCTAGGATGTAAGAGAATCTCAATATCTCTTTTGCAGCTGAGAATGCCAAAGATCGAATTTATGCCAAATTCAAAGAGCTTGATCTTAGAGGGCACTCACTCAATTTGGAGAGTCGAAACTTAGAAAGCAATCACTCGGTTTAAAGGACTCAAACTCAGAAAGTGCTCACCCAATTCCAAGGGCTCAAACTTATAAGGCACTTGCCCAGTTCAATGGATTCAATCAAGAAGACAACTTGCCCCTTCTAGAGGGATTCACCTGCTTCACAAGCATTTGCTAAGTGCCTCAAAATGAATCTCACCTAATAAGTGGTGGCAACTCTATTTTTTAGACAAGACCCTTAGAAATCACAAAGAGAATTATCCACATATTATATTCACTATGTTCATATGTCAATAATGGATATCATCTAAATATTATAATCACTATGTCCACATGTCAATGATGAATATTGCATTTATTATATAAAAAATGTAGAATATCTTGTAGCGCTCAAAACCATATAAATTTACGGTCAAAGGGCCATTTTGATAACACAAGATTCAATATTTTGCATGTGATGGTGAAGTAATAAATTTCTTCTAAGTTTTTCTCTCTTGTTCTCTCTCTCTCTGTCTCTTTGTCTCTCTCTCTCTCTCTCTCTCTCTCTGAAGGCTATTTCCATAATGGCTCTCTTCTTTTTGTAATTGTAAAAGAGGGCGTTGTGGAGACTCCTTTAGCTTTATAAGTATGATTCGGGCATCGCCATGGATAGATTTGGATCCGAGGTTTTCTCACTTTTTTCTTCTCTCTTGCACTCTGCATGTGAGTGAGTTGTGGCATTCCTTTTTTTTGTTTTTAAGTTTATAGGAATAAAATGCTGATATAGGAATGGTACTAAATGATTTGGTAATTACTATCCTTATTCTATGTGTCAATTTGCTGATATAATTTGTGATGAAACGCTGAAACATCAAACAATCTTTCCACCCCTTTGCAGCACTAGAAGCACATCATCAAGGTCTCTGCTATCAGAACTTGCAGGTGCTACTACTATGAGTGATAAATTCCAGGTATGCTAGGAATGTAGGCCTGCCATATTTTTATTTTTCTCCATAAACTAACTGCAAATTAATCTTAGCTAGCCATTCTTCTATTCCTGCATTTGGGAATCATTTGGATTTCACTTGATCTCAAATTTGATTTATTGAACAGCTAATTTTGAAGCTTAGTGTTTATGTCTAAATCATATGTTGTACTTACAATGTGATTTAGTAAACCATGTTTATTTCTGTAAATTTGCAGCACAAACAGGGTGTAATTTATTGTGTTAGACCATTGGTATATCTGTAAATTTGATGGTTTTGTATGCTGTTCTAATTTTTTCAAGTTGCTTAGTTGCTTACTCCTTCAATTCTTAAGACTTGTACTGGCACGGGAGCTTCCCCTACAAATATTTCCGCGGTACTGTAGCTGCTACGGTACCGCGGGATCCTCTATCATGAGAGGCAGACGAAATAGTCCATCTTTTTTTTTTTAGTCCTTTTTATATGTGTTGTATTAAGCTTTAGAAGGATGTTTTGTCATGAGTTTTTTTTTTGTGCCTTTGGCGTCTATCTTTTTTCTTGCGAGGGCTGTATCTGAGGGTTTAGGTGGATCTCTGGCTGTATCCCACACTTGAGTTGGTGATTATCTACCCTGTTTCTTTCCGCATCCTCCTCACATCGCTTATGGCCATCATACATTAGTGCAGCCGCCCCCGAAGAGCCGCTTGCTGTTGTTTCCCTGCAGCTTTCTTTTCTTCCAGCAGCTTCCATCTGCGTTTCAGCTTGCTACCGCCATCCTGGACGGTGAGGAGTTGCTGCCTCACCCGTTTCAGCACCCCCGGCCATCCCTTTCACTTGCTATTTTCATTACCCTGCTCTCCCAGCCATTCCTAACGACTGTCAACCCTCACAGCCACCGCAAAATCCCTCTTCCTTGTCGCTGCCACCTCCAAAGACCAAACTGCTGCGGTTTGACCCGCCCACCTTGTTGCTGCCACCCTAACAGCATGGTGTCGCCGCTTGTCTTGTTGTTCTCTTGTTGTTTCAGCTCTTTCCTGCTTGCTGCTGCCCAATGCAGAAAGCCACCGTTGTTGTCGCTTTTTCCCCACACTCCAGCCACTCCTCTAACTTGGCGCCACCTTTTCAAACCCCCAATGACGATCCACCTTTGTGAGCGTCATGTCCCTTGTTGTTTCCCTTTCAAGTGTGTTTGGGTTGTAATCATATATTTGCTTTTTGTAATAACTTTTGCTTTCCTATTGATTATTTGGGTTAACTCTGGTATTATTTACAGGTTGAGACTTTTTTGCGATCCATGCAGAAACAAATTAGTTCTGCCAGAAAGCGAGGGTTTTTCTCTAAGAAGTCAGCAGATCTCCCAGTTGGCGAGGAGTTCAAATTGGAAGACTTGTTGTGCTTTCAAAAGGTGGTAACTCTATTTTTTCAAGAAATCTTAATATTTAGGATCTATTTCTTATGTGCTATCGCTGTTTGTTTATAGAGGTGGCTAAAAATGTCATGTTTCTACTTTGTCTTTTCTTTCTATTTTATGGTTAGAATGCATAAGCTTTGACTGCACAAATCTTAAGCTGTAATGGTTAACCTAAAACACTTGGTGACAAGTTTTGTAAAAAGCAATAATACATTCATCATGGGTGGTCACAAATCAGGTTTTGAAACCTAAAATCATCTCCCAGCTAATTATATGGCTTTTTAACTTTGAATGACAGCTTGTTTAGATTAAATTGTATATGATTTCTTATAATTTCAATGGAAAGTTACATTACATTTGTAGTAATAGCTGATCATTTCGTAACACCAATTGAACTATTAATCAAAGAGCACTATCGTTCTAGTTATTGAGCTGTAAGTTTTTTTTTCTTCAAAGCATAATTTTGTCCTAACGATCAAACAAACCTCATCTCGCTTCAGCTTATTGAATGCTTTGAAATAAGCACAATTTTATGCTCATATAATCCAATTTCTGCTCAAAGTGAAATTGATTAGTATAAATGTGGCTCTTGCGCAAGCCCCAATCTCGATCCTTCTCCATCTCCATCTGCCTTGGTTTTATTAAACTCTATTTTGAACGGGCTTGATTTACTTAAAGCTCTTTCCAAAAACTACTAGTTAAAACTTATCTTTCAGGCTTGTTTTAGACGAATGGCAACTTTTTATTAGATATTCCTCCTATATTTGAGGGGTGGATTGGGGGAAAGTGAAGTTTATGAGAATGATACCAGAGTTAACCCAAACTACAACAAAAAAAATAAGTATTATTTATGGAAGTAAATAGACGATTACAACTAAACACACTTTAAAGGGAAAATACAACACACTTGATACACAAACTCACGTTAGGGCGAATTCGAGGTGGTGGCGGTTAGGGTGCTTGGCGAGGTTGTAGCAAGGTAGGGAAGGGGTTTCCGGGCTGTGGATGGTGACAACAATTATGCAATTTTTGGTTTTTGGAACAACAGAGCAGCAAGAGGCGATAATCCGAATGACTGTTACTGTTTGGGGGGGTTGAACAGTAGGAAAACAACAAAGGAGAGGCGTTGCAGTTATGGAAGCAAGCTGGAATGGGGGAACTAAAACAGTAGAAAACAACCAGGAATAACTGTTTTCGGGCACCGACAGTGAGCGTAAATGAAAGCGACAATGATGGTGAAGGCATGGGACTAAACCAAATGTGGATTGTCCTAGGGCTGCGACAGTGAGGGGACTACACAACCAAATGTGGATTGTCCTAGGGCTGCGACAGTGAGGAGGATGCTGGATGGCGAGGAACTGCAAGAAGAACAGTAAAACTGCTGTTGGGGTGGTTGCAGCGAGGAGGAAGGCATGGTGGCGAAGTGAGAGGAATGCAGGAAGGGATAGGGAAGATATATAATCACTACGCAGGGATAGGGAAGATATATAATCACTACCTAAAAGTCAAGATACAGCTAATGCACCATCTGGAACCTTAGGATATGAAATTCCAATGGAAGAAGAGATGTCGATGGTTGTTTCAATATAAAACACACAAAAATTTCTACCTCCAAACAAATCAAATCACATAAATAAGCCATAGATAACTAAGATTGGATTCTCCTACAGATAGAAGGCACCAAACTCACATGGAAGAGCCGCTCGACTCTCTTGGATCTGGACTGATTTGGTCTAAACAAACAAAAATACGGAGTTGGAGCAACTCCCTGTCACATCGCAGGAAGTCGTGGCTACCCTTTTTGCGCCCGCGTCAGTCTTTCGGGGTTTGGAGAGCTTCAACCGCATCTGTCAAAGCTTCTGTCTCCTCATAATAGCCAGATCGATGTCGCTGAAGGTATCGAGAATGACAATCTCATGGAAAGATAATCCTGTAGGCTCTGACATTCCACCACATGTTTTCATAAAATAAATATTCATTTTCTTTTGACACATTTTGAGCTGGAGCTGCATATAGATGTAGGTTCTCATAATGTTATTGTTGAGCTCTTATTTGAAATATTTTTCTTTCTCTTCTCGTACTCAACAAAATGTAGCTAATAAATAAGTATGTGAAGAGAAATAAATTTAGGATGAAAACTGTTATGACCCAACCCAGAGCTTAGAATTAATTATGACGGGAGTTGTACTCAGACGGTATTAACATTTCATTTTACTTTCTATAAAAATTTTTAGAAACTTCTAATATATAAAAGTGCCACTAATCCATAATGTGCAATAAAATTAAACAACCATAAACAACATAATTAGAACACCACATCTCAAACAAGTATTGAACAATATATGAAGTAAACAACAAACAAAAATTACAAACACAATATAACTGGTACCTATCAGCTACAGTCCTATAAATCAAATTTCTCTTTCGAGACATATCAACATAAAATTTTTCTTCTTTTAAAAGAAAATATTAACTTCAACTTTAAGTTTGACTTAATGAGATATTATAATCTTTATATGCATTAAATTATGATGTTTATGCCATGCATGAATGACAAAAAAAAAAAAAGTTTAATACTTTATAAAATCTTGAATTTTTTGCTTTAATTTTATTTCATTTTAAGTATTTATCTTAATGTTATTAATAGTCATAACATGATTACTTACTGCCATTCCCCGAAGATATCCTAAAAAATCTCTGAAGACATTTTGAAAAATGTATCCGAATGTATCCTCAAAATGTACTCGAAGGTATTCTCAAATTGTACTTGAAGGTACATCTTTATAATTTTTTTGTATATGCACGGTTACATCGCATCCCCTGCCAATACCATCGGGGGTAATCTTATATGACTTAATTCTTTATTCAACATTTCATATCAACTGACATCCTTTAAACTATATCTTCATATGTAAGTTATTTTCCTTCCATCTTTTATGCCATTTCAAACTTTTAATATGTAAGGTATAAGTGAAAAACTTATTTTATATTATTTAATAAAACATTTATTGATTTACTAAAATATTAATTTAATGCATAACGACAATCACTTGCTTTTGCATAACTTGCTTTTCACACTGATTCCCTAATCCCTGATATTCTAGGCTTAAATATGCTTCAACTTAGATTACAGTTAAATATTAATATTTTATTAAATATCAATTTCAATTAAATAAATTAAGTTTTAATTTTTACTTAAAACATACCTTATTTTTTGAAGTTATCTGCATTCTTCCTGAAATCTAAAGGATCCATCGACCATTTTCCTCACTTCCTAACAAAAAAAAAAGTTTAATAACTTTAATATAACTAATTATATTATTAATTTTATCTCCTCCCTTGCTTGCTTCAAAACTTCTCCTTCTATGTTGAAATCTCTAATTTTTTGAGTATGATTTCCAAAGACTTTCCATTAACATTATTTAATAAACATATCCTCACACACACATATATACATATTGATTAAAAACTTAAGTAAAATCTTAAACTCATTTTATTAAGAAAATATTCACTCTCTTTTGCTTAGCTTGTTTGTCACACCGCTCCCAAACCCCTGACCTTCTAGGCTTAAATATGCTTCAACCTAGATTACAGTAAACATTAATATTTTATTAAATATCAATTCCAATTCAGTAAATTAAATTTCTTTTTTAATTAAAACATACCTTATTTTTTAAAGTTATATATCTTCTTCTTGAAATCTAAAGCATTTGTCGACCATCTTTCTCACTTCCTAACAAAAATAAAAATTAATAACATTAATTTAACTAATTATATTATTAAATTTAATAATAACATTAGACTTAACATTTACCTTATAGGTTTTGAGATTGATCTCGTCCCTTGCTTGCTTCACAAACTTCTCCTTCCATGTTGAAATTTCTAATTTTTTTAATCCTGATTTTCAAAGACTTTTCATTAACATTATTTAATACTCTCACACACACATATATAAACATTGATTAATTTTAAGTAAAATCTTAAACTCACCTTGTAAGTCGTTAGTCTTAGAGCCCTAACACGCACGAAGCTCTCTCCTTCTTCCTCCTTTCGGTCTCGGCTCGATAGTGCAAGCTCCTATTTTGTCAGTCCCATCGCACCCTAATAGAGCACGCGAGCTTTGACTTACTCCTCCATGTTGCGTTTGGGCCTGACGAGCTATCCTTTTCTTCTTGATAATGTTGCAGGTCACCTCTCCTCCGCTTGGCTCGACGCAGACAACACCCACGAACGCAAGGATCACTAACTCCTTCCTCTGCACAAAGCACAACATCGATTCCTTCTTTGGCTATGGCTTAAGGTCGACACGACCATCCTTTTTCTTTCTTTCCCTTCACTGTCGTTGCTTTCTTTTCTTGCTGCTTCGATTCATCTTCCTCGCTCGGCTAGGGCACGACCTCTTCTCCGATTTTTTCTCCTCTCACTTTCTTTTTCGCTCGCTTGCTTGTATTGAACGCTTCAATTGGGGACATTCCTAATGTCACATACAAATCACCTACTCCTGATTCTTTATATATGACATCGTGTTTTGTTTTGCTCGTTCGTGTTCTTTTTCTATGATTTGTTGATATTTTCTTATACCTGATTTTCTAGTAATTTATTGAAGTTTCCTGCACTTTACTGTTCTCTTTACTGTATTATTTACTTTACAAAATTTATAAAACCCCTAAAGTAGAGAACTGTAAGACACCTGGTTAGGAGGTATACCGTGACAAGCCATTGACTGAACCATTACATCTACTTCTTAAACCCGAAACTCGACGTTGTTACGATATGGAGCTCGGAGCAAACTTCGTGGGTAGGGCAACGAGGAGCGTGGAACAAGCAACAAACAGAGGCAGTTGTCATTCTACAACAACAAGACAAGTATGCACCAAATAAATATTCATAGTAATAACAGTCGATAGGACTTCGGGGTGGCTCTCTTAGCGCGATGTAAATCCTCACACTCCCTTTTAGGCTCCTGTGCAACTATGTTGTGCAGCGTAAGTCCT